GGGAGCTTTATTTCATAGTCTCTGAATCTTGGCTGTTGATGTGATTATATGGCTCCAGAGGCAGTTTGTGAGTGTGGCTGCCAAGCAACTGGAGAACTGGGGAGCTGGAAGGAGGCGGCCCAAGTCCTGTTCCAAGCAGGCTTGGAGATCTCAGTCATGGGTCTTGCATACCTGGGTTTTTCTGCAGGTTCCCGCCCTAGGTGAGGCTTGTCTGAGCCTGTCCAGAGAGCAGCCTTGAGCTTGCCTTTGTGATTGGGTTCTGGAGGTTTTTGGCTGCTGGGGTTTTGCTGGGGTGGGGAGGGAAACTCAACCCAACGCCCTCCGAGTTGCCCCCATGAAAACAGCCTGGCGCGGGGACAGGACATTCTGTGTTGCTCTCTTCAGAGCTTTATTTCATAGTCTCTGAATCTTGGCTGTTGATGATATATGGTGCTGGAGGCAGTTTGTGGGTGTGACTACCAACCTACTGGGAAGCTAGAGGGAGGAGGCCTCTAACCCTCCAGATGAACTTTTTTGTTTTGTTTTGATTTTTGGGCCACACCCAGTGATGTTCAGGGAATATTCGTGGCTCTGCACTCAAGAATCACTCCTGAGAGTGCTCCAGGATCATATGGGATGATGGGTATTAAATCCTGGATTGACCGCATGCAAGACAAAAGCCCTAACTGCTGTACTATCCAACCCCTCAAGATGAACTTTTTTTTTTTTTGAGCTACATTCACTGTGCTCAGGGCTTACTCCTGCTTCTGGACACAGGTTCAGTCCTAGCAGATTCAGGGGACCATATGGGATGCCGGGAATCAAACCCACTGTACTATTGCTTCAGCTCCATCAAGATAAACTTTAAAACATCAAACTCTGGGTTATAAGAATGCGCCACCTTGAAAGGGACAATTTCCACTTAGAAAATGCCACTGGTGGCATTTTCCCAAGGTGGTTGGTTTCTTTTATGTTACTCTTTTCATATGACTGTTTTCAAAAAAATCTTCATAGTACAGTGGATAGGATACTTGCCTTGCATGCTGCTGACCTAGGTTGAATCCCTTTCACCTCATATCATTCCCTGAATCCCTCCCAGAGGTGATTCCTGAGCCCAGAGCCAAGCCCTGAGCATAGCTGGCTGTTGCACACAAAAAAAAATTCTTGTCGTTTTAAAGTGCTCGTCATGCACTTAGATAAGAACAGACTCATAAAGTAGTGAAAGTAAAGGAAATGAACGTACTAAGTTTAGTAATAAAACTTGTTGAAATATTAAGTTTGTTATAATTAGGATTCTAAATATAACCCATATTTCCTCTTGGCTTTAAGTTTTTGTGTAAAGAAAGAAATGTGGTGAAGATACATTCCCACTTAGTCACACTAAACTGGCTTTATTCTTTTAACATTTTCTGCAATGACTTTTAAGTTGCTGTTGGTATTTCTAGTTGTTATTTTTTTTAATTGCCATGAGCCAGACATCTCTTTTATACAATTATCCTATTTAATAATTTCCTTTTAATATCCATCTTTCCTTGCTGCTACCCATATGTATTTAGCCACTTGGAAAGAAAATATGGCTATACAGCGACTTCCAGGAAAATTTTATGTTAGATATATCTCTTTGAACCTATTGTTTTGTATTTTCTGGGTTAATAGGAAGAGATAACAAGATAGTATGGAATATAATGGGATAGTATGGAATTTCTCTCTCTCTCCTTTTTTTTTTTAAACCACTCCTGGCAGCCACGCTCAGGGATCATTCCTGACAGTGCTGAGGAGACCATATGGGATGCTGGAGTTTCAATCTTGGTCAACCACAAGCAAAGCAAGTGCTCTGCCCATGGTATTAACTTTGTAGCCGACCCCTGGAAGTTTGTATTTTTAATATTTTGAGAAACCTTTATTCCCTTTTTTTTTTTTTTTTTTTTTAGTGAGACATCATGAGGTACAGTTGTAGACTTACAAATTTTTGTGCTTGGGTTTCAATTACACAATGATCAAATACCCATCCCTCCACCAGTTATTGCTTTTCTTAATAGCTCTTGATCATTATCACAGTATTTAGTGATTCCCTTTTTCCACACTTCCAATATTTGTTACTTGTTTTGGGAATAAATTAAGTAATATTTCATCATTGTTTTGATTTGTATCTTACTAATAATAAAACACATCTGTCATGAAACTGTACTGTTTCATAGATACTCTTGATTTCTTTCTTATACACATATGTCTCTCTATATGTGTGTATATATAGGTTTTGAACTCTATTCCATAGATCTGTGTTGTGTATGTTTTTATTTCAGTACAGTTTTTTTTTTTTTATTAAAAATGGCTTTGTAGTATAGTTTGAAGTTACAGAGCAGCTTACCTTTATTTTGTTTGTTTTTTGTTTTGGGGCCACACCTGGCTTTATGATTAGGGATCACTCTTGGAGGTACTGGGAATACCATATGTGGCTGGAAATTGAACCCAGGTCAGCTTCATGCAAGGCAAGTGCCTTACCTGCTGTGCTGTATTATCTCTTCAGCCCTGTTTTTGTCTACCCTGGCCCTTTTTCCCGCAGATTATTTTTGCCAGTTGGGTTTTTGTAATTCCAAATAAATTATAGATTTTTGTTGCTTTTTCTTTTTCTTTTTTGGGTAGGTGGAAGGAGGGGAGGCATGCCGTGGCTATATTCAGGGAATCATACATGGTGCCTGGGATGGAAGACGACTAGTACCTTGTATGCAAGACAAGCACCTTATCCCTGTATCTTGAGCCTTAGGGTTTTTTCTTCTGTTCCTGTGACAAATGTCTTTGGGATCTTGATGGGGATTGCAATAAATTTGTTTATTGCTAAAAATATAGCCAATTTGATGATGTTATCTTTTGGGGAGAGAGATGGGCTGGCCAACACCTAGCTGTGAATAGAACTTAATCCTGGCTCTGTCTGTATTCAGGGACTATTCTGTCGAACCTCAGGGAACCAGGATGAGGTGCTAAGGATTAAACTTGGGTAAGCTGTGTGCAAGGCAAGCAACTTACCCACTATACTGTCTTTTTGGCCTTGATGAATTGCCTTTCTAGTTTTTATTTTCTAAGACTTGTGTCTTAGAAATTGAGTACATTTAGAGTTGGGATACTTTTACGAACACTTAGGTATAATTTCCCCTTGGCCTTTAGTTAAATGTCATAAATTGGGAAATATTTACCTAGTAATAAAATCTTATACATTTCTTCTTTTGTTTTTATATTTGGGCTACACCTGGTGCTCAAGGATTACTCCTGGTTCTGCGCTCAGGAATCACTCCTGACATGCTCAGGGACCATATGGGATGCCGGGGATTGAACCAGGATCAGCTACATGCTAGGCCAAGCACCCTACCCAATGTACTATCACCCCATCACATACCTGTTTTTAAAAAATCACAGACATTGCCATTGTAGTGTATTTTATTTAAATGACTTTAATGTTCTGTCTTTTTTTTTTTTATTTAGAATTCTATATATATTTTTAAAATAATGGTCACTGTCACTGTCTTCCCGCTGTTCATCGATTTGCTCGAGCGGGCCCAGTAACATTGTGAAACTTGTTACTGTGTTTGGCATATCGAATACGTCACGGGTAGCTTGCCAGGCTTTGCCGTGCCAGCAAGATACTCTGGGTATTTTGCCAGGCCCTCTGAGACAGGCGGAAGAATAGAACTCCTGTTGCCATGTTGGCTGCGTGCAAGGCAAACGCCCTACCCGCTGTGCTATCACTCCAGCCCTAACTTTATTTTAAGCTGTTTGTGAGGTTTCGATTCTTTCTTTCTTTTTTTTTTTTTTGAGTCTCCAGTAATGCTAAATGGTTGCTCCTAGCTCTGCATTCAGAAATTACTCCTGGCAGTGCTTGTGCTCAGGGGAACATATGGTATGCCAGGGATCAAACCGAGGTCAGGCACATGTAGGGCAAGTACCTTACCCATTGTACTATCTCTTCATCCCCAGATTTCAGTTTGTAATCTAAGCCAGTTGCTTTTGAAATTAGGGCCAGAGAGATAGAGGGGTTAAGATGCTTCCCTTCCATACAGCCAACTCAGTTTCATTCCACATCCAGTCCGCCAAGAACTGCTAAGAGTAAGCCATGAACCCTGCCCGTTGTGACCTACAGCACCTCTCTGCTATTTTGAAAAAATAATAAAATAGCTTTCCTTCCCACTCCCTGCCTTCTTATATCCTGGAATGTTCCACTAAAGATTGTTTTCTTTATTTTTAGTTATTGCTTCTTGTACATATTTTTCTTTACCATTTTTATTAAGGTTCTATGATGTACAATGATGTAACTATACTTTTCATGCATATGTCAGTGTAATGATTATTTTTAAAATAATTGACTTTTATATATTTATTTTTTTACTCTTTGGGTCTCACAATGTTACTGGGTCTGCTCGAGCAAATCGATGAACAACGGGAGAACAGTGACAGTGATAGTGACTTTTTGGGTCATACCTGGCGGTGTGTGTGCATTTAGGAATTATTCCTGTCGGTGTTCAGGAGACAATATGGGATGCTGGGGATTGAATTCAGGTTAGCCGCATGCAAAGCAAATGCCATACCTGCTATACTGTCACTCTGGCCCCATAATTGATATTCTTTTCGGTGTACCACAATTGTTTATTTTCCCTCATTTTCTTATTTCTGTATATGTATATATGCATGTATGTTGATACATGCATATGATCAAACCTAGGCCTCATGGAAAGAATGCACTTTACAACTTAATCTACATTCCCAGTTCCTCATAATTTCATTAGATCACTTTTAATAATTTTTTTCTTTGCTAGAAACTTGTTCATGCATTTTGAGTCCTTGGAGAAAGGACTGAAATGATAGATGTAGGACCTGAGTTATAACCTTGGAACCACGTGTCTTTACTGGGTGGGGGAGGGGAGACCATTTTGATAACCTTTCTGACTTGGTAGTTTATGAATGCTTTTCATACTCAGAAATGGTTGCCCGTATTTAATCCATTAATTTCACAGTGGCTCTTTGTTTTTTAGGCACGAGATGTGCGTACCAATGAAGTGGTGGCTATCAAGAAAATGTCTTATAGTGGAAAGCAGTCTACTGAGGTAAGTAAAATTTATAGTCTTTGCATGATAGGAAATGAATACACTATTTTCATTTTGAGATTAGGAATTTTTCAGAAGGAGTAAGACATAAAAATGTACAAATTTTAAGTGTATATCTCAGTGAATTTTTTTTCTTAGGACTTGAATGTATACACTTGTATCTAGAGCTATATAAAACCATTATTCCTCTTCTCCTCCCCTGAGACCTTCCAACTCATATATCTCCTGCTTTGAATTTTTAAGTTATATTCTAATATTTTACTGTCATAGAGATTAACTTCTTTAAAAAACCCTAGAATAATGTTAATTTTACAACAAATTGTATATAAAATATTTAATATATTTTAACAATATTAATATTTATGCTTTTGATATACAAAATTAGGTATCTCCACTACTACCAGTGTGCCAGAAACCATCCATTTTCATCCTTTTTGTTTGTTTGTTTTCATTTTGGAGCCATATCCAATAGTGTTCAGAGCTTTTTCCTAGCTCTGTGTTCAGAGATAACTCCTGGAGGTGTGTCAGGGATCAGATTGGGGTCAGGTGCATACAAGGCAAGTGCCTTACCCTCTGTTCTATATTTCTGTCCCCTATCTCTATTATGTCATTTCTAGTCTTCACCTTCTATATCATTTCTCCCTTTCCTGTTCTACCTTCCTAACATCAATACTGTTGTCAGAGTCCAAAGGTTTGTTTTCATTCACCATTGTCTATTGCCTTTCATTCTTTTTTTCTATACTATATGTTAATGATAACATCTATCATTTGTCCTTGTTCATCTGATTTATTTCACTTTATTTAACTTGAAGCAAAAGGTAGAATTTTATCATTTTTTATAGTTAAATAGTATTCCATCGTGTATATTTACTACAATTTTCTTTTTTGTTTTTGTTTTAGAGCCATACCCGGCAATGCTTAGGGCCTACTCCTGGCGCTGCACTCATGAATTACTCCTGATAGTGCTTAGGGGAACATATGGGATATCAGAGATTGACTTGAGGAACTTTTTATTCTAGAACCACACTATTTTGTTTTTGTAGCTCTTTCGTATGGTTTAAGGACAGATGTACTTCCCCCGTTATCTTATTTTTTTTCCCCTCAGAATATTCAGGAGTTGCTTACCTCCAAACAAATTTTAAGTAGTAGTGTTTGTTCTACAGTGTCCTGAAAAGATGTTAAAATTTTGATAGGGATTGCATTGAATCTGAATAATTGGATAGGATTGTCATTGTAACAGTGTTTATTACTTAGACGTGGAGTCTCTGAACTAAGTTGTGAAGCTTAGCTCTTTGTATACTGGAGGAAATTGGGTGTGGGTGGAGCACTGAGCTTTCCAGCAGGGCAGGTACTCTGCCCACTCCCATCCCAAGAATGCTTCAGAGACCTCACCTGGGGACCAGGTCTACCTGGTGCAACTCAATAGCAGCATCTCTCTGAGATTAGTTGTGGAGGTGGACATTTTTATTTCTCCTTTTTCAATTTGCATCCCTTTTAATTTCTTTTTCTTAGCATAATTGTTGTGGCTAGAGCTTCCTATCTGTTGAGTAATAGTAGTATAGTGGCTGGGGCTAGAGAGTTACTACAATATACAGCACTAGCCTTGTATGTTGCTGACCTGGGTATGATCCCTGGCACTACATATGGTGTTCTGAGCACTTCCAGGAGTGATCCCTGAGTACTGCAAGGTGTGACCCAAACCCTCCCCCCCCCACCCACCCACCCACACACACACACACTCAAATTGCGGGGAATTGGAGACATTTGGTCCTCAGCCAATGGTACCAGGGGCTAAGGGTGTCTACTCCGGTCTCTGCTTAGGAATTGCTTCCTGCAGTGCTAGGGAGATCATGCATTGCTGGGAATCAATAGAGGGTCAGCAGTCCAGTACTGCAATTTAGTGTAATCTGCGTGCAAGGCTATCCTGTCTCTTTGGCCCTTCAGTTAGTTGTTTTGTTTTGTTTTGTATTGAAGAGTCACGGTATTATCTCTCTAGTCCCAGACTTATTACTTTGAAGTCATCCTTAGGGGACTTGGAAAGTTCTAGTATGTTGGAAACCGTATGCTTTTTTTTTTGCGGGGGGGCTTTTTGGGTCACACCCAGCGATGCTCAGCGGTTACTCCTGGCTCTGCACTCAGGAATTACTCCTGGTGGTGCTTAGACTATATGGGATGCTGGGGATTGAACCTGGGTCAGCCATGTACAAGGCAAACACCCTCCCCTCTATACTATTGCTCCGGACCCATGAGACCTTATGCTTTTGTCCCTATCCATTGGAGGGTGAATTTCCTTTCCTTCATAATGCCTGGACTAGCAGTAGAGGACCAAGCATGAATAGATTAGACAGTAATCAAGGACTCTCACTCTCCAAATTGAGCCTGTGCAGAGGATTTGTGGTTGACCTGTAGTAACTGAAAAGCTTCTGTGAATTTGTAGTTACAAGATGACTGCATCAGCCATATCCTGGTGATGGAGATGGCAAGTGTTAAGCACCTGTAACCTCAAGGCTTTCTGATTTTAGGGTATTTGTATTGCATTCTGCATCACCAAACTCAGAGTAGCCTGCATAATAAATATCCTGTGGTCTTTTAAAAAATTTTATCAAATTATTGGGGCTTGAGAGATAGCACAGTGGATAGGGTGTTTGCCTTGCATGTGATCCACCCAGGTTTGATCCCAAGAATCCCATATTGTCCCCCAAGCACTGCCAGTAGTAATTCCTGAGTGCAGAGCCAAGAGTAAACCCTGAGTATCTTCTGGATGAGGCCCCCCCAAAAAAGAGTGCCCCCCAGGTTTTTTAAATCAAATTACAATTTGTTTCTACCCTTAATAAAATAATTCTAAGCAGTGGTGACATAATGGTGAGCATAGCATAGCTGCCCTCCTTAATGAAATAATTTTATCAATTATATAATTATATTATAAATTATATCAATATAATTTCTTTTAAATTTTCTATTTTTAAATTTAATATAAATATAACAAATAATGTAGTAGTTCTCATTATGCTTCCTTTATCTTATAATTACTTTTTTCTTACATAACTTTCTGAGGAAAGCAGCTTTTCCTAATTCTTTATTCCTTTTTCTCTTCTTACAGAAATGGCAGGACATTATTAAGGAAGTTAAATTTTTACAAAGAATAAAACATCCCAACAGTATAGAATATAAAGGCTGCTATTTACGTGAGCACACAGCATGGGTAGGTATCTGTTCTTATATTTGGATTTTGGTTTTCAATTAATTTAAGTATGTCTTAAAGTGATTCTGTGAAGTCATGCAAAAATACCTTGACTTGTAAGTTCATACTGAAGAAAGAAGAGCAGCATTTCCTAGAGCTTCTAGCAATATGAAATAATAGAACTTTTTTTAAGTTGACTACAGATTTAATTGATTTAGCTCTGTACATGATAAAATTATTTATTGATAATCTTTAGTAGTATTGTTCTCCAGATGTTTATTAAACATTATAAAAATCCTTTACTTTAGGTTGAAAGTTATCATATCTTTTTAACATTAATTATATTATTAATTTATAATCCACAATAATCCTGATAAATTTGAATTGATTGTGATTCTTTATATGAAACAAAGGTACATAAATGAGACACTTTATTCAGAAAATAAATATTATTCCCTTTATAATTTCAGTTGGCAAATTACACATGAAACATTTATACAAGTGATTATTGAAATTATAAAAGATTAATAGGGGCTACATTAATTATCCTGCTCAAGTGGTAGAGTACATGCCCAGTATCTATGTAAATCTAAATTCCAGCTCTGACACACTATGTCCACTGAGCACTGCTGGTTGTAGCTCTGGTGGATTCCAAGCACTAAATCATCAATCTTACATTTGCTAACATCAGAGGGAATAACCCAGCCCCCTCAGTTCTGCTGGGTAAATTTTTTTTTTTTTTTTTTGCTTTGTGTTTGGGCCACACCTGACAGTGCTCAGGTCTTACTCCTGCTGACTCTGTGTTCACAGACCCATAATGGTGCTGGAGACTGAACCTGGGCTAGCTGTGTGCAAGGCAAGTGCCTTACTCACTATACCATTAATTTTTTTTAATGTGATGCAGCCATTGCTGCAGTTTGTGTTCATGAGCCATATCAAGTGTGAGCCACCAGTGGTGTGCCTCGCTGTCAACATGTTAAAGATTAATTTATCGTTAGTTTAACCATATATATGCATTTAATCAGTTGCTGAGTATAGAACTTTTATTTTGTTATTGTTTTGTGATGCCAGGGATTAAACCCAGAGCCTCATGCTTACAAGGCAGGTATATCTGTCACCACTATATCCTTCCACCTCAAAAATTTTTGGAATTTTTATGCATTTTTTTGGGGGGGGTGAGTGGGGATGTCACACCTAGCAATACTTAGGGTTTACTCCTGGCTCTGCAATCAGAAATTACTCTTGACGGTGCTGGGGGACCATATGGGGTGCCGGGGATCAAACGTGGGTCAGCTGCGTGTAAAGCAGACACCTTACCCGCTGTATTATTGTTCTGGCCCCTGTTTCTGTAGATTTTTTTTTAAAAAATTGGGGGGGCCTACCCTCAAGTAGTGCTCAGGGAACTACTCCTGGCAGTGCTCAAGTAACTATTTCTGGTAGTGCTCAAGGGTCTATTCTTGACAGTGCTCAAGGGATCCTGTCGTGCTAGGGATCAAAACTGAACGTTATGCCCAGACCTTTACATGAGAAGCATGTACTCAGGCCTTTTTTTTTTTTTTTTAAGGTAAATGATGAATACTTTCTTTTACTTAGACTCGCTTCTTGATCTCTTTGGTGACTTTATTTGATCTCAAATAGAATCTTCTTATTATGTTCTATGCTTTTTAAATTGTTTTTTTCCTTACAGCTTGTAATGGAATATTGTTTAGGATCTGCTTCAGATTTACTCGAAGGTAGGTTTCCTTTTTATTACTAAATAACATAATATTAACGAGAAAATAATTCAGTCAGATTTCTTAAACAGTGCTAGTATTAATTAAGAATCTTTGCAGGAATAGTAAAATCCTTAGCCTTTACTAGATTCTCAGCATGGTATATGTTAAATGTTATGCAATTGCACAAAATAGGTGAATTTTCTTTCTTATGACTGAGCAAAAAGTGTTTTTCTGTATCTTTGTCATTCAACTTGATCTTTTCTGTTAAGAATGAAGATATGTAAGAATAAAAGAATAAGTTTTTTGTTTCTTCTATTTTTATAATCACAAAATAATTATTAAATGCTAATTGTAGATAAATTGGGTGTAAACCCTTTTACAGACACGTTAAGCATTTATTAGTTACCTACCTAAAGTTCAGTAGCCTTGTTCATTATCTCAGAAAACAAATCCCTTCTTGCTAAATGTTTTAATCTATTGCCCCATGTATTAGGCATATATTTATTATTTTAAACAAAAGTATTCTATAAAATAAATTCTTTTTTTAATTTTAGTTCACAAAAAGCCATTGCAAGAAGTGGAAATAGCAGCAATTACACATGGTGCTCTCCAGGGATTAGCTTACTTACATTCTCATACCATGATCCATAGGTAAGCACTTTGAAAATTATTAATATATTTACAAGGAATTGATTTGTTGGATTTGTTAACCCTGAAAAGCTAAAGCCAAATACTCTTATTTCAAAATCGTGTATTGTTCTCTGGCCCCCCCACTCTAATATACAGGAGTCAGCGACCTCATTGGCTCCCCAACTCCTGAGAGGGAGCCACCTGCAAGCCAGTAAATGTTCCTTAGTTGGAAATGTTCTCTGTCCTGCTGTCTTTTTTGTGCTGAGGAAGGAAGGATATATAATTCAGGGGAAAACTAGAAGTTCTAGGAGCGGGATAAAGCGGGGTGTGCCCTGGTGGTCATCTGCACAGGTCACCACCAGCTACTTTTTGCTGATTAGCTGCCACCTTCACCCAAGCTGAATTCCAAACTCAGATTTGGCTCTGAACTGATTGCCAAGGATCAACCTTGGGTTGACTGTGTGCAAGGCAAGCAACCTACCCTCTGTACTCTCTCTCCAGCCCCACTGCTTTTTTTTTTTTTTACTATTTTGTCTTCTCTTTTAGAAAGTTGACACTATATATTTATTAAGTTTCTGGGGGGTTTTTTGTTCTCCTATTTGAATCTAAGTTCTAGTCCCAGTTGCTTAATTATTTTGTTATTTTCCATATTTTATAAATTTTTATTTTTATTGTTTTCAACACAGTCTAATGAAAGTAAGAGAAGTAATTTTCATTATTCTTTAAACCAGAGATATCAAAGCAGGAAACATTCTTCTAACAGAACCGGGCCAGGTGAAACTTGCTGACTTTGGGTCTGCTTCCATGGCATCTCCTGCCAATTCTTTTGTGGGAACACCATATTGGTAAGAATCATTTTATCTAAAATTGATCCTCGTAATTAAGATGGCAATATATTTAAACATTGTGCCTTTTTCAGATTGGTTCTTTTCCCTAGAAATACTATTCAGAACATTTACCTTCAAGTATAGTTAATCTGAAATACATATTCAGAGTACTTCTCTGTGTCTCTTAACTGTTTTTATTTCCACCCTCGATATCTTTCCTACTTTCATTGATATCAGATGAAATGGAATAAAACTTTTAAAAATTGAAGTGGGTAGAAATGCTAAAAGAAAATTCACATTTTCTTGTCACTTATATTTTCTGTGTGTTCTTTAGATTAAGAGTGCCTGAACTCTGGTTGATGATCTGGAGTTGTTTCGTTTTCTCTTCTTATATTTTGTTTTGGAGATTTCCACTATACATCAAAGTAAACAATTGTGATTATATTTTATATAGTAGTCACTTGGCCCAGCAACATACCTATAATCAGTCACGTTTTGTGTTTTTAATCCTCTCTCACCGCCCCTTATTTTTAGATAACCGACTTTATTCCATAAATAATTCATTATTACTGTCAGCAACTTTGAAGGGAATAATTTTCCTCATCTTCACAATTCTATTTGTCTTCTCTTTTTTGTGCAAACTGAGGGTGCTAACCTAGGTCTGCTGTGTCTTCAATTTCCACCTTCCTTTCAAATATTCTTTCTCTTTCTTTATCACGGTCCGGTCACGGTCCTCCCGTTGTTCATCGATTTGCTCAAGCGGGCCCAGTAACGTCTCCATCATGAGACTTGTTGTTACTGTGTTTGGCATATCGAATACATCACGAGTAGCTTGCCAGGCTCTGCCGTGCGGGCGAGATACTCTCGGTAGCTTGCCGGGCTCTCCGAGAGGGGCGGAAGAATCGAACTCAGGTCGGCCATGTTGGCCGCTTGTAAGGCAAATGCCCTACCGCTGTGCTATCGCTCCAGCCCCTCTTTCTTTATATAAGAAAGATATGAGAAATCTATATATTTATATGAGATTTTTTGGGAAAGACTTCCTGCCCATCTTGAACAGTACAGTGATGCATTGCTCTGGGGTCTAAATCTAAAGCAACACCAAAAGGACATTTTGAAATGAGAGCGTTTTGTTTCTGAAAAATAATGAAGAGTCAAGGTGTGAACACTTTGTAGTGCCCCAGTCATCTCCCTTCTGTTCCTTCTACTGCTTAAATTTTCTTCACAAATATCTTCCCTCTTTCTTTCCCCACCCCACCCCCTTTGGGGAGAAGCGGGAGGGCAGCACACCCCCAGTGTGGTGTCTGGGATAGAAATAGGGTCTCCTACGGGCTGGACAAGTGCCTTAGCCCCTGTATTTCTGTACTTTCTCTCTGGCCCTCCCTTCCTTTTTCTTTCTAATGTAGAATTCTAAATCAAATTATTATCATAGGGACACATTAACATGTTGCATGCATCGAAGAATGAAGCCAGATTTCTTACAGAAATTAATTCTGACCTGACTGAAATATCCATAAGGACTGGCTTTGCTAATTGGGTTATGTGGTAGTATTGTCATTTAATGACAAGTTGGAGAAATAATTCTACAACCCTAAGTTTAAGTATCTTTAAAGCACATGCACAGGGCCAGAGTTTTGGTAGAGGGGTAAGTCATTATTCGTCTTAACACCTGGTTGATCTTGGTTTTATCTGTGGAACTACACATGGTCCCTCAAGTCCTGCCAGTAGTGATTCCCAAGCACAGCCAGATTTTACCCCAAAACCCAAAATAAATAATAAAGCAATATACACAGTAGTATGTATGTACAGAGAGTGTATGTAACATTAAATTTCTTATGTGTGTGTATTGGTAGGGGATTGGAGGGAGAGAGCAGGAGAGAGAGTGTGTATCGGAGTTATTAAATTTTTTTTCTGCCTGCCTGCCTGCCTGCCTTCTTCCTTCATTCTTTTCCATCCTTTTTTCTCTCTCCCTCTCATCAGGGCCAAACCCCAGCCTCATGTGTAAGGAATGTACTCTGCCACTGAGCTATACTCTCAGCCAGTGCAACTGTTACTTTTTTTTTTTATATTTAGATACCAATTCAATGTACAGAGGGACAGATACACGAGGTTTGTTTGTTTTTTTAACTTATTGAAGGTAAATAAAACTTTTTAAGTTACAAAACACTCTTTGTTACCAAAAATTTCGTGTGTAGAATAGTAGTTCTAAAAAGAATCATCATCCCCTCTTAAAAAACGAATGCTGTGAGCAAATATTTCTTTCTTTTTTATTTGCAAATATTTCTATATGATTCACCTCTTGAAATAAATGAAGTTTTTTTTAAAAAAATATTAGTTATTAAAAGACCTTGAAAGCTCGGCAATAAAAATCAGAATTTCTTGTTTACCTTTTTTTGGTTTCAACTTTTAGACCACACCTTGTTGTACTAAGAAATTACTCTTGGCTCTGTGCTCAGGTATCACTTCTGGTAGTGTGTGGGGATCATGGGATGCCAGGAATGGAATCTGGGTGATTGTTTTCCTTTCTAGTAAAGGTAAAGGTAAAGGCCCTCCCGTTGATCATCGATTTGCTCGAGCGGGCCCAGTAACGTCTCCATTGGAGACTTTGTTGTTACTGTGTCTGGCATATCGAATACTCTCGGTAGCTTGCCGGGCTCTCCGAGAGGGGCGGAGGAATCGAACTCGGGTCGGCCATGTTGGCCGCTTGTAAGGCGAACGCCCTACCCGCTGTGCTATCGCTCCAGCCCATTCCTTTCTAGTAATTTCCCAAATTTTCTTCAATATCTTAAAGAACACATTTTTAAAAAATTAAAAATTTTAATTTTATTAGTGAATCACCGTGGGATACAGTTACAGACTTCCAAACTTCCGTGCTTGTGTTTCAGTCATACAATGGTTGAGTACCCATTTTATGACTGTGCCTCCACCAGTGCCCATTTTCCACCACCAGTGGTCCAGGATCCCTCCCACCACCCCCACCCCGTCCCGTCCACCCCACCCCACCTCTGTGGCAGGGCATTCCCTTTGGTCGTAAAGAACACATTTTAAATACACTGTAGTTGACAATTGAAAATTTGCTTAATTTACATCTTCGTTCATTTTATATATAATATTTTTGGAACAAAGGAATTATGTGCATGTTTACTTAAATTTTAATTTTTATGTACTTTGTACTTATGTATATATAGTCTTTGTTTCTGTATACGCACACACACACACTGTGGTGCTTTGTGATTATTTAGAAAAGGTCAGAAATTATTCTCAATATATGTTGCGCTTCACATTAAATACAGTGTTAAGTATAAGGACAAGTACTATCAATAATGTCAAATTCAGGCCATAGAGATGCGTACATGCATGTGAAAGCCTGCCTGAGGTTTCATCCCTAGTGCATGGTCACCCAAACATCACTGAGTATAATCCAGTAAACAAATTAAAAGGTCAAATCTTTAGTTCTTGACAATTTTCATTTTATCATCAAGACAACTGTAAATTTGATAATTGTGTGATTAAATTGTGAATTGTTCTAACTGCCTTTGTCATGAAATCCTATTATTATAGGACTGACAAACTGGTATCCAGTCTTAGTTGTTATGGCAGAGTTTTTTTTGCTTAAAACAAAGGGAATGAATTTGTCACTTCAAGGAAAACAGTAGGTGATAGTCATTACCCCTGATAAAATTCAATTGTTCAACCAAATGATAAAAATTTTTAGTGGGATCCTGAAACCAGAATATTTGAGAACTGCTGCTTGTGAAGATATAAACAAGTCCTAAATCTACAAGTTTGGTTAGGTACAGAATACAGTACCATTCTGGGTCATTCTTTCTATTAGATGCAGTTTTGTGATCATGACAGGTGTTGAGAATGATCATGACATGTATCCTACCTAAAATGCATGTATATCCCTTTATTAAGAATCTTATGTTCTATGTTTGCCACTCAATGCCTCTTTTGCTGATCACAACACCCAAAAGGAGAGAGAGAACAAAAGGGAATGCCCTGCCACAGTGGCGGGGGGTGGGGGGATGAGGTGGGGAGGGATATTATCCTGGTGGTGGAAAATGGGCACTGGTGGAGGGATGGGTATTTGATCATGGTATGACCGAAATCCAAGCACAAAAATTTGTAAATCTACAACTGTACCTCATGGTGTTTCACTAATAAAAAATAAATTAAAAAAAAAAAGAATCTTATGTTCCGAGATATTGTCTGAAATTGCTTTCAGAGATAGTATCTGGAATTTACACAAGTATTCTCCATATAGATGGTTATTGTGTTTTTAAAGAATAGTGCCTTGCACATGACCCCAAATCCCCAAATCCATTTGGTCATCCCCAGTACCGCATATGGTCCCCCAAGTACAGCAGTAGTAATACATAAGTACAGAAATTTGAATTAAGCCCTGAGTACAACAAGTGTGACTTCAAAAGAAAAAACAAAATCAAGAATAGCATACTTTTTTTGACTTTGATATTTTATTTTAGGATGGCCCCAGAAGTAATTTTAGCCATGGATGAAGGACAATATGATGGCAAAGTAGATGTATGGTCTCTTGGAATTACATGTATTGAACTAGGTAAGTATTGTTCTTTATTATTCTGGAATAAGTTTTGTCATTTTATCACAATTTCTATAGCAGTGTGCCACTGTCCTCCTGTTCATCAGTTTGCTCGAGCGGGCACCAGTAACATCTCCATTATGAGACTTGTTACTGTTTTTGGCATATTGAATATGCCACAGGGGGCTTACCAGGCTCTGTCATGTGGGCAGGATACTCTCGATAGCTTGCCTGGCTCTCTTAGAGGGGCGGAGGAATCGAACCCGGGTTGGCCACGTGCAAAGCAAACGTCCTACCCACTGTGGTATCATTCCAGCGATATTTCTATATCCAAGTTATAATATATGATATTTGTTTCTTTTGCTTTTTTGGGTCATACCCAGCAATGCTTAGGGGTTACTCCTGCCTCATGCACTCAATAATTACTCCTGACGGTGCTTGGGACCATATGGGATGCCGGGGATGGCCGCGTGCAAAGCAAACGCCTTACTCTCTGTACTATCGCTCCAGTCCCAATATATGATATTTCTATATCAAGTTATGACTTTTTGTGTGTTACTAAATGAAGCAATAAATCCCTTTAGGTTTTTACTCTAGTTTTCTGGGGTGTGTGTGTGTGTGTGTGTGTGTGTCTGTGTCTCAGTTAAATTTTCTTTAGACATAAAATTAGATTTAAAATAATTTTCTTCTGAATATTTAAACTATTTGGGTCTAACATTAAATATATAAAATTTATTACTAGATTTACCATATATAGAATGTTTGTAAAATATTTATAAGTTTTTTGAAATTTCATTAATTTATGATTTGTAATTGAATTACTGTGAGATAGACCCTCACAAAGCAGATCATTAGGTTTCAGTCATACAGTGTTCTAACACCCATCCATCTATTAGTGTACATTTCCCAGCACCAGTGTCCCCCAGTTTCCCTCCCATCACCCCCACCCACCCCCCCACTTTTCTTCTCTCCTTTTCTCCACCCTCTCCCCCTCTCCCTCCCTCTTTCTCTGGTCCCCGTTCCTTCTGGGCATTGTAGTTTGTAAATACAGATACCGAAAGGTTATCATGTATATCCCTTTACCTACTTTTAACATTAAGTTCTTGTCCAGAGTGATCATTTCCAACTATTATTGTCATACTGGTCCCTTCTCTATCTTACCTACCCTCTGCCCCCCGTCATACACTTGTGGTAGATTCCAACCATTGACCAGTACTCCTAGCCCCTCTTTTCTCTGATCTTGGATATTAGTCTTCTGCTATATATTTTTTATATAATACAAAGCATTCTTAAATTTTTATGTATATTTAAATATCCTAAATTTAGGATATCCTAAATTTATGTACCCTAAATCTATGATGCTTATTAAGTGTGAAAATTAGAAGTTAATCTGCATATCATAGTGTAGCAATTTTGAATTTGTGCAGGCATCTTACTCAGTTGCTGTAAATGTAGCTATGCTTAAGGCACAGTGATTATTGTAGCTTTTTGATTCCTGCTGTAAGTGCATCAGGAGAGTAATGGAACTATCGCTATAATTGAAGATGGTGATCATCATCTTGCTCCTTATCCCCCAGACTTTCTCCTACCAAGTAATATCTTTTTCTTTTTCTTTTTCTATTAAAAATATTCTGTTAAATTTCATCTAAGGGTCAAAGAGAGGGTACAGCAGATAAGGCATTTGCTTTGTTTGCAGCTCATGCAGGTTCACATATGGTTCCCAGTGCCCTGTAGGAGAGATACTTGAACACAGAGCCATGAGTAAACCCTGAATATAGTCAGGTGTGGCCCCAGACAAGAAAAACAAAAACAAAAATTCATGTAAACGTGGGAAATAATGGAGCTGGAGAGATGATACAGCAGGTAAGGTATTTGCCTTGCATGCAGCTGACCTAGGTTCGATCCCCAGCATCCCATTCGGTCCCCCCTGAGCACCATCAGGTGTCCCAGAACAAAAAAAAATAAAGGTGGGAAATATTTGGAGTATTTAATTGAACCTTTCTGGGAATGACCAAAGGTTGAAAGTAACATGTTAAAAGTAAAACCCGCGCCTGGAGCGATAGTACAGTGATTACCAACACAAGTTCAATCCCTAGCATTCCATATGGTCCCCCAAGCACCGCCAGTTATAATTCTTGATTGCAGAGCCAGGAGTAACCCCTGAGCATCACTGGGTGTGACCCAAAAAGAAAAAAAGTAGAACCCATGTTTCAGTAATAGGGACCATATGGGGTGCTAGGGATTGAATCCAGATCAGCCTTGTGCGAGACAAGTGTCCTACCCATTTTAATATCTCTCTGGCCCCTCAACATTCTTTTCTGATAAGAGAAAGAGCTGGTTAGAGCTGGGGTGCATACTTACTTTCAGGAACCCAATTTCAGATTCAATTCCATTATTACATGGTTCCTCAGGCACTGTCAGGAGCTACTCTGAAGCACCACTGGGTGTGGTCCCCAAACAGGAGAAAAATATTCCTTTCAATAAATTGGGAATAGGAGGAATATGCAACATAATAAAGGTTATATGTGAAAAAACTCATAGCTAACATACTTGTGAAAAACTGAAAGTTGGGGTCAGAGATCATACAAGGGTTAAGGCACTTCCCTTCAATGTCAACACTAGTTTACTCACCAACACTGAGTACAGTCTTCTGAATAATACCAGGAGTGATCACTGAGCCCAGACTTAGGAATAGCCTCTGAACACTGCTGGGTGTAGCCAGAGAGGTAGTACTGGCCGTCTCTGCTGGTGATAGTTGGCCAAGCAGTGATAGGCCTCATGAGGTGCTCCGACTCAGAAATGCAGTACTGCTCAAGGTCTGGCCATGCTCAGGAAGCACATTAACTTGGGTCCTGGTGCATGCTCAGTATGCCCTCCAACTCTTTGCACTCCCTGGCACTTCAATAGATCTTTTTTGATGGGAGGATGATTGTGGACCTTGGTGGTGGATGTGGAAGTTATTATGCATATTATGTAGAAGTGTAAAGCTAAACTCCTAAAATCTATAATAGAGTAAATTAATTTTAAAAGTCCAAGGAGCATAGGGTACAGGGTTCAGTGGTAGAGAACCTGCTTCAAATGTGAGGCTGTGAGCAACAACTCTGTGATTCCTGGCAAAAACTGCCATTGAGTGAGTGTGCCTTATATCAAAAAGCAAGGGAAGAGGAATTTTTTTTTTTTTTAACGTAGAGACACAGCATTTTAAAAATCATTTTGTCTGGCCAGCATTGATTACATGGCCTGATTTCAAAACAGAGAAGACCATATAAGGGGGGAAAAAAATTACAGGCCAATATCCATGATAAGTATAGATTTAGAAATTCAGTGAAATATAGCAGACCAAATTGAACACTATAATCACCATAATCAAATAGCACAGCGAGTAGGGCGTTTGCCTTGTGTGCGGCCAACCCAGGCTGACCCCCGTTCGATTCCTCCGCCCCTCTTGGATAGCCCAACAAGCTACCGAGAGTATTGCGCCTGCACGGCAGAGCCTAGCAAGCTACTCGTGACATATTCGATATGCCAAAAACAGTAACAAGAAATCTCACAATAGAGACGTTACTGGTGCCCACTCGAGCAAATTGATGAACAGTGGGAGGACAGTGCCACATTAATGTGACATATGACATTAACAAAATAAAGGTTAAAAATAATGTATGTGGGCTTGAGTGATAGCACAGCGGGTAGGGCGTTTTCTTTGCATGTGGCCAACCCAGGTTCAATTCCCAGTATCCCATATCGTCCCCCGAGCACTGCCAGGAGTGATTCCTGAGTGCATGAGCCAGGAGTAACCCCTATGCATTGCCAGGTGTGACCCAAAAAGCAAAAAAATAATAAAAATAATAATAATAATATACATGAATAAAAGGGCTCAGGATATGGCCCAGCTATAGAGTACATGCCTTACATATGTGAGGACCTTTTTTGTTTTGTTTTGGGGCCACAACCAGCATTGCACAGGGCTTACTCTTAGCTCTGCACTCAGGAATCACTCCTGACAGTGCTTGAGGGACCATATGGAGTGCCAGGGATCAAACCCAGGTCAGACATATGCAACATAAGTGCCTTACCTACTACAGTATCTCTTCAGCACCTGTGAAGAATTCCTTGCACTGTGCAAAAATAAATCATGAACAAGAGGAGTCAAAAATACTGCTCAAAGGAGTGAAGCACATGTCTGGCATGTACAAAGCCCTGAATTCAATCCCTGGCACCACATGACCCTCCATTACCACCATATATAACCTATAAGTGCTATATTGCTAGCTAGCATCACTCTCAATGGTGAAAAACTAGATTCTGCTAAGATCAGGAACTAGACAAGGAGTCCTAGTCTAGCTACCTTAATTCAATGTAATTTGAAGTTTTATCCGGAACAATGTTTCAATAAATGGTGTTGAGAAATTAAATAGGCATATGCCGAAGTATGAAATGATGCCACCATTTTGTATCACATACAAAAATCAGTTCAAAAGATACTTTTAGAGACATATTCATGAATACACTTGAGAAAGAATTACAAGATAATAAAGAATAGGAACTCTATCTTATTTGTAGCTTTTAGGAATACACTAAAGAATTGAGACCAAAACCTGTCACATTTTCTTTTTTGGTGATTTTATGTTTTTTTTTTTTAAACTAAAATGGTTTGTGGACACAGATCTGTGGTTTGTGGACACGGTCACGGTCCTCCCGTTGTTCATCAATTTTTTTCAAGCGGGCCCAGTAACGTCTCCATCGTGAGACTTGTTACTGTGTTTGGCATATCGAATACATCACGGGAACCTTGCCAGGCTCTGCCGTGCAGGTGAGATACTCTCAGTAGCTTGCCGGGCTCTCCAAAAGGGACAGAGGAATCGAACTCGGGTCAGCCATGTTGGCTGCTAGTAAGGCAAATACCCTACCGCTGTGCTATCGCTCCAGCCCAGTTTGTGGACACAGATCTAATGAATCATTCTTTAGGACTCCTTGTCAAATTTGGATATTTGGAATGTTGATGAAGTCACTGGGATATT